TGATATGAATATGTATTTAGGTATATCTCTGTAAGCTCGTACAGGTCCCACACAAATGCTGTCCTGATATTTTCTTTGAAAATTTGCATTAAATTGTAGTTTTAGTTAGATAAGGAGGCCCACTGATTTTATACGTATTTACAGAGTTATTAGCGATTTTCCAAAAAAACATGACAGGGGACTGTTTTAAACGTGATAAAGGATTTTTTTACTGAGAAAAAAAAGTCAGTTTACATTATTCAATCCTTTATTTTTATGGCATAACTGCGCACCAATAATATCTACAAAGTTTCTTTAGAAAAAATCACAGAAAACATGCTAGAAACTATTTGCTCTTACTGAGATCAACATAGACTTATTGTTAAAATATCAATCAGTAAATGCTTAAATTAGTATTTATTGAAATATTAATATAATTATTAGAAAACAATATTATTTCTAAAATATATGATATTACATTTGAGATCTCCAGTCAAATCCCTCTCTTCATCGCTTGCTGTGCGACTTTGAGCCTTCTTATGAGGTTCTTAGTCAACGACCACGTCACGGCTCCGTATGTCACCACGGCACAGAGCAATTTCACTGTGTGTCATTATAACATGAATTCCGAGTGCTACTCGTTCCTGCAATATTATCATCCAATATTTGGACTTGTTCGGTATTTCTCGTTCTCGTTTAAACTTATCAGGTATTATACACCGTTTAGCTACAGGTACATTCAAATCATTTAGATTAGATTGTTTTTCTGGACATAGCTAGGCTTGAAGCTGGGGATATTTGAACTGGAACTGGAGTGGAGGGTTATAAAGTCGCAGCAGCGGCGTATTTTCTCGTACAGAAGTATTAGTGACGCTTTTCAGTCCTAGTCATTAGGTTCGGTATAAGGAATAATTTTCTCTCCACTTCTTCAAGTGGTTTCATATTCTTTATTTACTTCCGCAAAACATTTTCTTTCTAGTTTTGTTATTTCAAGTTCTCCTTTTCTCTCATTTCTATTCTCTTTTGAGGGTTTTTTTTTCATCTTAGGTATCGTAATTATTCCACTTCTCACTTTTTCTGTAATTACTGCTTTTATTTCTTTTAGGTATAATACATAATATCATAAAAAGGAAAAATCATGTGTCTGCAATGAGCTTGCGAAAAATAATATGAGTTTGTCAGGGAAAATAATGTGAAGTACTTCGATGATTCCTATATTATTTGACATTGATAAAACAGAAAAGCGGATAAATTAACACAAACAATACATAAAAATAAGAAGTAATAGGCAATAAACACAGTCTCTTGTTGTGCAGAACATTCCTCTGCTGCATCTTCAGACAGAGGACTGTTGCCAGGGAACTGTGTATTTCGGATAAATTTCACAATGTTTACAAAACCGACGAAAAATTGTTTTTTCAGAACGTACTGATCAACTTAAACAAAAATAATAAAACAAGAAATTCTACATAGAGTTAATTAAATAATTAACATAAACTTTATTGCTTACCAGAGGACTGTGTATAGTAGCGATCGAAACGCATGTTCAACTCACAAATGATGCTCTGACAATAAATAAAATAGCATCTCGCCGCCGCATTAGGGCAAGGTTGCCAACTGCACAACTATTGCGTTTAGTTTCACTCAAAAAAACGTTAGTAAACATTATATTTTTTTTCTATTATGACTTTAAATTTTTGGCATATATGGAATGTATGGAAATTCTGGCGACAAAGTTTACAGGACTTTACTGAATAAATAAAATACGCAATGAAACTTTGTTTTACGAAAATAACATAATTTAGTTATTTTTCTTTAAGCTATGAACTACCAAATGTATGTTGTTTTAATAACTTTCTTGTAATTCTCATATCTAGATGGGAAAACAGTGGTGGGGACAGCTAGGGGACTGTATTTTTAGAGCTTCTATCATTTCTAGAAAAACTTTAAATAGTTTTATGGTTCTAAAAACAGAGGGCCTGTAAAGTTACAGGTTTAAGTTTCATTAGGAACGACTTTTAAAAAAGAAATTAAATAACTATTTGAAAAAATCGGTCAGGACTGCTGTCTGATGAGTAAACCCTTTTTGCGCGGAAGCGATCGAAAAAGCAAAAGAGTGTTATTATGAAATTTAGTACAACAATAAAATCTGTAGGTAATATGAATATCAGCAGCGATTTGACTATTGTGAAAGAACAAATAATTAAGAACTTTTCAATAAAATCATTAAATAGAAACGATTTTTTTGCTCCATGGTCAGGTGACCCAAAACGCCAGGGATTGGCCAAGACTAAAATGACGTCACACGCTAGTAAACTTCCGGCCAAAGTGACATTAAATTGTATGTAATGAAAATTTTACTAGAGAAGATTCCACGCGGACCAGGCAATAGACGGGACACGGACGTCAGGGCGCGGTAGCATAATGGTCAGTGCGGGATAGCGAAGGGTGCGGGTTCGAGTCCCGTCTGCTGCCTGGGGGCCAATCGCCTAACGGAAATGCTTTGGAAAACGCTAACGCTTACGATTTTAATATGTTATTTCTAGCCGCCTGAGGTATTCAAATGCCTCGCGCTCTTTCTTTTTCTTTTGCATTGGTAATAACAATATTAAAAAAAATGAGCGTGAGGTATTCGAAAACCTCAGGCGGCTAGAAATAACAATATAAAATCGTAAGCGTTTAGCGTTTCCGAACGCATTACCGTTAGGCGATTGCCCCCCTGGTCCGCGTGGATTTTTTTCTAGTAAAATTTTCTTTGGATTTAAACATCTAGCAGTTAAATGCCTAAAAAATCAAAAATATAACTATAATTGCTATTTCTTCACTCAAATTTTTAATACTTGTTTAAGTATTTATTTGACATTGTGGGTTCACTAAAATGCGAAGAGATGGCGCCGCCTTGCAGTTTAAGAAAGGCTAGAGAAAATTCGACACGGACGTCAGAGCTGCGGTGCATAATGGGCAGTGCATTCGCCTGGATAGTGAAGAGTGAGGGTTCGAGTCCCGTCTGCTGCCTGGTCCGTCTGGAATTTTTTCTAGTAAAATTTTCTTTTGATTTAAACATTAGCAGTTAAATGCCTAAAAAATAATAGTAATTTATGATACTGTTGCCTAATAAGGGTTCATATAACATGAGTGTGTGAGTAGTATCACACGAGTGTTATAAGACCAAGCTATGTACAGTGTCATACACTACTTTATCTACTCTCATACTATAAAACGTAAAACAATATTGCATATAAAACGCTGAATTGAAATTTGTTGTTATAAATTTATTTTTACTTGTAATAATTATTGATGTTATGAATATTACAATTATGAAACTGAATTTGAACCGGACAAGAAGCGTTATTGGAGGTACTCAGAGAGGGTATGTTAATGTTGACCTCATTTCTGTTATTTTCAATACTGTTAAGTATTGAATTGGATACAGTGATCTTGTTAGTCACTGAATCATCTATATAGCCATCTGCAACTGTCGTTGACTTCCAGCCACCGTGTCGCTTTAGTGCCGTTATATCTCCACCAGCGTCAACTAGCAAGGTCGCAGATGTTCGGCGAAAGCAGTGTCCTGTATACAATTCGGGGTCGGTAAGTTGAAGATAGCTGGCAATAACTTTGCCTAAAGCTCCAAATTTGTTAAAGCCAACTCTCTGCGTCGTGCATTTTCCATCAATATAGTTTAGAAAAAAACTGGGATCTCGTAGCTCTATGTATTTTGCATTGTTCATAATATTTCCCAGTAACGATAAAAGAGCGGTCCGTCTTGGTTTTAGTTTTACTTATTTTGATCAATAGTGTAATTTCGAAGACTTCAACATCTTTGAATTGTATGTTGTAAAACTCTTGCCGTTGGCAAGCACCCTTTGTACCAAAAATTAGTGCAATCTGTAACAACTCATATATATATATATATATATATATATATATATATATTACGGTAAATTAACTCAATATTAACAAAAAAAATGTACATGGTTAACTGATAAACAACTAAAATACCTTTTGTGAAGAGATATAATGTGTCTGTTAAATGAAGATTTAAGAACTTATTTATCTGCTCTGCTGTAAAAGTCTTGGATTTTTTCCTTTTACATCCTTGTGAGTTTCGTTTCGAAAATGCAATCAGCTTGCTATATTTAGTTATGTCAACTTCGTTGTAAATATTGAGTGTACTTTTAATCATGGAGTATTTAAGCCACATACTTGACACTTTATATTTTTCAGATAACTCTTGAAAGTACGCTAACAACACATTTTCAGAAAATGATGTAGCATTATTATTCATTTTCTATTCCATGAATTCGTGGTAACATTTATTATAGTTGCTCCTAGATTTCGCCGGCAACAGGTTCATGGTCATGTTTGACGCAGCTTCCAGAATGTCTGGTGGTGTACAATCACCACTATCCCCGCTTTTAGACATGTTTTTACACAAAAACTTATGTATTTTACAAACAAAACCAAACTTTGTTTAAATATTGAAAAGATTTTTTAAATATCAAATGTTGGCGCCAAGGTGCAAACATCGATTGCGCATGCGTGTTGCGTCGTCGCGGACTCGTTCATTGAAACCTTTTTAAAGTAGAGGTTCAACCTCCTTGGTCCAGCTGGAGGTTGTATAGGTGTATCGTTATGATTAAAAAGTTATATTATGTTACAGGTGTCCATACAAGACCTGTATCGTAATTAAACTTTTTTTTTAATATTTTTGGCCTGTACGTAATGTTTGTCATAAGCATTTTGTTTTCAGTTTTAGAATCTTTTTATTATAGTATCAAAGTAGATAAAAAAATTAATTACATTGTATCGTTTAACGTTCTAATGTCAATCGTGTGACGTCACATATTAGTCTATGAAATATATAACTACTAGCTGACTCGGCGAACTTCGTACCGCCCAAAAGTAATAATTTGCAATAAATTAAAATTGCGACTATAATTTGAGATTTAAACTATCCTATCTCTCAAGTTGGATCGAACTGCACATGGTGTGCGAATTTTATTATAATCGGTTCAGTGGTTTAGGAGTCCATTGAGGACAAACATTGTGACACGAGATTTATATATATTAAGATTGTATAGTACATATTGAAATTCTCTATTTCTAAGGTCTGAAAACATTTTTGCTTTTAAGTTTTTCTTTATCAAATAATAATAACTTAAGTTTTCTATACAAACAGTGTGAGAAAGTGAGTGAACAAAAATACGAAATAAATTTAGGAAAACTTTATTACGCTTTTGAAATCAATAAAACAATTTAATTTTATCTAGAAGTATTCTTAAAGTAACAAGTAATTATAAGCGAGTTATTTTTGAAGCAGTCGATCTTTGCTATTACATAAAGTTTTATATTTCTCAGTTATTTCTTTTACTTTCTCTTCCAACTCCGCTTTTCCTCTGTTAGAAAAAATAACGGTAATGATGTTTGATAAGAATTTAATATTTTCAGGCATCTCATTTCTTGTCTGTAAGTTTTCCTGTTATCCTATTTTTATAAAAGCTATAAGAAGATGATGTCCTTCATTCATTATTATTAGGAAAAAGTATAAATATATTACTTATGGCCCCACCTCACAATGGCCCATGATGGGCGATATTTTTTGTAAGTGATACTATTGACCATTGCTTGTTTTTTCATCATTTATTAGTTTAGTAGGTACTTATCACTATAATTTTTAAACTGTTGTTACGGCAAGATTTATTCTGAATTTTGCTTAAAAAACCCTAACTTTGTGTTGTGTGTGCAATATAAGACTATAGTTTCATAACAGTTATACTTACACTATATTCATTAAATCTTCAGGTATGTCCGACTCGAGGTGATCCAGTTGAAATTTCAAATCTCCAACGACCTTTTCACGTTTCCCCATTTCGATCTCAAGCTCGTTCATAGTATTGTTAACTTTTTCGATTTCCAATCTCATTATGTCTTCATCCTGATTCGTGGAAAATTAATAAGAAAATAATTATTTGCAGCAAACATGTTTTTAATACCTTAGTATATAAAACATAAATATTTAAATATGGTGTGGTTTTATGAAACCAAGATTAAAACTTTTAAAATCATTAATAAATATAATAAGGTTTCCTAGGCTGCTGATCGAACTCGGGCCGCTCGGTCGGTGTGAGCTTTACCTATTCAAATCATCTTTTTAGTACACTATATTACACTGAAAGCGTTAAAAACATAATTTATTTCATACATCACGTTGTGATATCAAGCACGCTACCTGCTTCCATCTCGTTTTTCTACCGCAAACGTGCCATGCCACATCTATATACTTTGAAATTCATTTCACGTATTCAATCGTTTAGTAATCTTAAATATGGAACCATTAGTGCACCCGAGATTTAGAAAAAGGCAGGAACAACGTATCATTTATGTGTAAAACCAATATTAACGGGATTTTCATGAAAGCCAAAAATAGAATATTTATAGCTGTATAATGACGTCGATAATAATTTTTTTGTGTAATTCACATATACCTTAGGCATAATTGATAATTTATTAACTCTAAAAACTCAAGCAAGTTAAGTAGTTTATACATAATGTTGTTTTACTGAAGAAAAATCTATTAACTTACATAAAAAGAGCTTGTTTCCCTGAAACGGTCTGCCTTTCCGCGAAGTGTATCTTCGTAGTTTCGACTGAAAAAGATGGTAGAACTTTACTTGATCTTGGAAAATGGAAAATATACGCACTCGAAAAAATGAACTGTTCGACTTTTCTTTATATAATGCCCAGAATAAATTCGCAATTTGATTGCAAGTGCAAAAATAAAATGAAAACCGGCCAAGTGCGTGTCGTGCCACGCGCAGTGTAGAGTTCCGTAGTTGCCTATCGTAACCACAATATATTTGAGCAGTCTTTATTGCCTGCATCGGAAATTAAAAAAAAACGAGTACTTATGACCACCCGACTGAAGTGAAACTTCTTTAGCTCCATCTGTATGTGTATATATATATATATATATAAGTGTGTGTGTGTGTGTATAATATATACATGTATGTACACATACATATTTCATTTACTAGCTATAAGAGAAAGAGAGAAAGAAAATATGAAAAACGCGAGCACTGCTTTCCCTTGCTTATATCCCCAACCCAACTCCCGTTCACCTCGCCCTAACACACTTCGCATAACGCATTCGCCAGCTTACCCTCAAGCGTGTGTAAAGAAGTTTCACTTCAAACTATGTATCTCACAACTAAAATACCTAAGTCAAAGTCAAACTGCGTCTCAAACTCAAAATCAATTCGATTTATATTATTTAGAGCCCTTTTACAAAATTGAGCCGCTGCCGTAATGATCGTCGCGTAGGTAGATTTTTTCAAAATTTTATTGTAACATTTTGTTGGCGTGATTGATATACTTATTTCCACAAAATTACAGCTGTTTAGTGCTAACAGTCTCCAAGCAAAACCTGGACGGACAGACAGACGGACATTATGAAATTATAAAAGTTCCTTGTCAGAAATATGGAACCCTAAAAATCATGAAAACTAAAAACAGCTAACAGCAAAAGTTATTTTATGTCAAAAGACTGACAAACAAGCATAAATTATGATCCGGTCGATGGTCAGCGGCCGATATGACTTCGACGCTTGCGATATCATACCGATGTAGTCAGTCATATATATATGCCTGAATATATCCCCAATCTTGGGCGCTTCACAAATTTTTGACCTCCGCAGAAACAGGCTGCGAAACGTCAATAAATAAATAAAGTTTCGTGCATTAACCCGTTAAAACTAGTTTTATTTAACAAAATAGTACCTAAAGGACTGTGTTATATTGGCAACATTCTTCTGTAATCTCGAACAAAATCCGCTGTGCCGATAAAGGTAGGGGAAGGAATGAATTTAGCTTACTCTCGCCAACCACCTCTTGTTTCAATTATAAAAGTAGTAAATCAAACAGGAGTTAAAAGATTTGAAAAAATATGTTTTACCTTTATCCTAAATAGAAAGCCTTCTTGCCCTTAAAATTTCATTATACAATCAGGTACATCTTGAAATACTTCTTAAAAATAGTGTTTCGAGAAATTTAGTCTGGACAAGGAATACGAAGAAGAGCAATTTCAGACTTTAGAAATAATATTTTTATTATTTTCATTCAGTAGAAACGTACAAATGGAATGTTTCGGAATGGAGTTAATTTCGTATATTTCAAGAGAAAAGGAGACGGTTCAAATTTGTATGCAGGACGGTAGTCAGTCTCCGGCAGACTCCAAATTATTATGAGATGTAGTGCACTTAACTGTAAATCGTTTGCTAAAAACTAGATTATGTTTTATCCCCGATTTTCTGAAAATAATGATTATAAGATACAATTATTGATTGGCAAATGGCAAGTTTTATATATATATATTTGTTGCTAAAATATCAAATATATTCCATTCGATAAGTACATAAAGCAGTGATAATCATTCTGTTAATCTTTCATTACATAATTAGGTATTTTGTGGGTATTTTATTTCAAGAAGAATCAATCATACATTGGTATAACAAGTTCACCCTAATTTCACGAATATCGTGCATGACTGGACTGATTGACATTTACACTAAAAATATGATGTTACTTATAGCAGGAAGGCTAGCATCCTTACAAAATTGTTAAATTTTCAAACGCTATTCAAAATTAATTGGGGGTAAATAAAAAAATGAAAGTATCTTGTTCGTGTTATAATATAAAACAAGCTTTTAAATGATATGTGTTTCGTCGCTGCCGTTAACCGACTACCACTTTGGAACCATCGCTTTTTTGTATCATAGCGATATGGTTTCAGTGGTTTCCAGTAATCTAAATAATTAGGAAGAAAATTACAAATAGAAAGTTTTGGATTGAAGCTAATTATATCGGATTTTAAGTTAAATATTTTTGTTATATACCGAAACAGTTTTAACTGGTATGAATGAATTTATCAGTCAGGCTCGTGATTATAACATTACGAGTACATGTATCCTTGGTCCAAGTGCATAAGAGTATTATTAACTCAGGCAAAAGAGATGACTGCCTACATTAAATCACTGCTTTTCTTTGAAGTGCGACTTTTTATTACCGTTTCTAGGAAAAAACTACATTCCATGTTAATAAATGTTAAGAAGTTGAACGGAAGAATTTCATCTCTTTTAATTTGAATACATTTTTACTTTATGCTATGGCTTCTACTTTTAGGGTTACAACAACTTACAAAATGGTTGACCATTGGATGGGTGACAAAAAATATTATCTAGTGCTTCGTAAGGCACTTTAAGCCGGTAGTTCCGGCTGCATCTACAGTCGTTAGCACTCACCAATCCGCACTGGGCCCGTGTCACAGCTCAGTCTCTCTAGTCTATCCATAAGAAAGGCTCTTTTTGTGTCTGGAAAATGCCTTACGCATCCTTCAACCACTGGGGGAGCGAGAAGAAGGTATGTGGGACTCCTCCCTGTCCTCTTCAGCCAGCCCTGGAGCTCGCTGATGTGAACAGGGCCCTACCTACGCCCTGAACAGGGCCACTAAAAACCAGCCAATACTCCTGCACCGTCACCCGACCGGTCCCCCTAGTGCGTGCCGAGAGGGCGGGTGTGATCGCGGAGCCCGTCTCCGAATGGCCGCGCACATCCATAAGAAAGGCCTGTGCCATTGCATTGAGTATATTAATAGACTAATAATGATGGATAGGGGACATCCCCTACCCATCATCTAGGTAAAGTGCTCGAGATCATTTAGTATCTTAAGTGTCTTCTAGCTATGGTTGATTGATATGGATATATTTACATAAAAAGTTACTTACATAACTTTATTTACTTTTACGTAGTGATTTTTCTCAAGAATCGCTTAGTGGACGTTTTAAATAAATCGTCAGTTCAGTTCCTAAGCGATGGTAGAAACTTTTGTGGCATTAAACTTACATTAGCAGCTCGACATTTCTCTCGTCCCTTTTCAGTAAATCAGTAAGTTGGTTCCGGTTTTCCCTGGCGCAGTCGAGCTCTTTAGTTATGTCTTCGCACTGGCGTTTTAGCTGCATCCGTTTTGCTGTCAGCCTCACTGCAGTGTTAATAGCAGATCATTTTTATAACATACTAATTGACCCCGCGTACTACGTACGGGCTAAAATAATTTGGAAGAAATGACGGGCCCGAGTCTACCGTACCAAAAGGAACGAACATCGAATGTTTGATAGGAATGAAAATAGAACAGTTTATATTGGAAAATTAAATTGCCTTTGTAACTATCTTCCTCGAAATTTTTCCATATTTTCTCACCTTTTAAACCTTCCCTAGACCTCCACGATCATTTCAAGACTAAGATAAGATAAATCCGTTCAGTCGTTCTCGAGTTTTAGCGAGACTATCGAACATCAATTGATTTATATATACCTAGTCAGGTCATAAATTCTGTCACATGTTTAATATAAAATAATTGAAACAAGTTTATTCATTATGTAACCATTTATATACTAAAATGAACTTAACAAAACATAGATTCTTATGACAATAAAGTTTATTCAAAATGACCTCCGTGATTTTGAATACAGGCTTTCAATCTGCGCGGCCAGTCTATCGCAGCACGAACGAGGTCCATGTCAATATCGGCGGCTGCCTTAATCAAGGATGTCTTGAGTGACTCCAAATTGGGATGAGGCTTTGAACACGCCTTTTCCTCCAAGTGTTGCCATATCTTGTAATCTAACGGACTCAAATCTGGACTGGAGGAGGGCCAGTCTTCGTGCCGGATGAAGTCGATTTCACGCGCCGAAAGCTAGTCTTATGTGCTCTTCGCTCTATGAGCTGGCGCAGAATCTTGTTGGAATACCCAGTGCCTGTTATTGAACATGGTATGAGAAACAGGTTCCACGAGGTTCGTCAGGACTGTATTTTGATAGACAACTGTATTCGTTTTAACACCTTTCTCACAAGAATGTACCTCTGTTAAGCCCCAATAAGAAACTCCCAACCATACCATGAGCGAGGATGGAAAATGACCTCGTTGGACACGCGGACACCTTATCATTTTGTTTATTGTAGCTCTCTTCTACGGTAAAAAATTTTCATCTAAAAAAAGATTTCCCGATATTTTTTTCCCGCGTACCGCTTCAACAAAGCGCGGCATCTCTTCAGTCTCAGGTCCATTAGACGAGCATTCAAACGATGTCCTGTTTTTCTTCGATATGCCTGAAGCCCTAAGTGTTCATTTAACACCCTTTTCACCGTGGTTCTGCTTAACCACATCTGAAGGGCCAACAGTTTCTGCTTACGTTTGGGATTTCTTTGAATTCGCGCCTTCACAGCTTTTATCTCTGCTGGAGTCCTAACAGACCGAGGGCGAACACTCCTTGACCTGTCATCTATACTAGAGTCTTCATTGTAACGTTTGATGGTACGATAACGAATCTTTTGGTTATATTCAAATTTTTCAGTATGTCAAAAACTTGAGTTAGCGCGTAACCGCAACGATGCAGTCCACTCCATATTTAAAAATGAGTAAAATTCTAAAAAGTATACATTTTTATTTTCATGAACAATTCGAAATTCGAATTCAATAAACTTTTTTGTGGCCAGCATTCGAAAAGAAAAGTTTTTACTGTGTGACAATACTTATGACCTGACTGTGTATAGTAAGGTGTTAGAAACATAAAGTAGAGGTGTGGGATGGCGGATTTTCTACTGGAATTAGATAATCGGGTTTAGTAACTTCAGCCTTGTAGAAGACCATAGTGAAATAAAAATAACTTTAGAGTTGTATCGGTATTGGATTCACGCCGGCACAGTTTAGGAGAGGTAGAGATTTTCCGCTAGAATTGTAGCGCCCGTGTGGGGAAGTTACCTCCCTAGAGAAGATCACAATAAAATGACACTACATTTCGGTCGTATTGGGTTTCTGTTGGTGAGTAAGGTTCCAGGGTTCCACGGGGTAGGGGATAGACTCAGTGTAGCCAACGGTGCGAGTGATATTTTTGGTATCGAAAGCGTCTATATGCTATGGTGGCCGCTTACCATCAAGCGGGCCATACGCTTGTTTGTCATTATTTTAAAATAAAAACAGTGAGAATGGTGGAAGCGGCACATTGCATTATCCTTTCACAGCTTTTCATGCAGTTTGATTCCACTTTCACTTCAAAACAGGTAAGGTATGACCAATTTAGGAAATGCGCTTTATTAGCAAATAATGTGCGAGCTTCTCGATAGTTAATGCAATACCAATGCGGAGGGCAGTTTTGAAAATTGTAAAATTTAAGCGATCTGGTTCCTTTTTTACTGAATAATATAATAATATGGTTAATGATATAGGTAGAGTTGTTCAAGTAAGGGATTTATATTTAAACTAGTTGATATTCGCGACTTAATATTCATAAAAACTTTCATCAAATATGTAAATTCACTTCAACTTTTATTTTTTTTGGGATAAAATAAAGGCTATGTCCTATTACAAGGTCCCCTCTATCAAAATTCATTCAATTTTTATATGTAGGTAATTAATTACCTATATGCTACTTAAATATGGGTACCTATATTTTAGTAGCAGTATAGGTAGGTAGTTCCTTGGTTAAAATACTATATGCCTGCAACAATAAGATTATACACAATTTAATTATGAAACAGTGTTAAATTGTGCAAAACAAGCCTTAAACACTGTTTTTGACAAAGTGTTTTACATTATTATCAGGAGCAGGCATGAAGTTATTTAAGCAGGATTGTCTACAAAATTTAGTAATTGTCTGTGCTGTGAATGATCCTCCTTACATAAATTGACTTGGCGGAGCGTGAAGTGTATGAGATCTTACCTCTTTACGAAACCTCTCTCGATCCTATTAGTTTTTACTAATTACAAGAACATTAAAGAACTTTATTTAATTTTTTAGGTAAACTAAACTGCTATATTTCTTTCTCGGAAATAAACTTCCGCTAACGAAGTTCAAATGAAATTTAATTTCGTCAATTTGAGGTAAAACTTAATTTGAACGATAAGCTATAAAATCAATTTAATAAATAAAATATTTCATTAGAATAAGAAACGTGCGAAGTTTCAATCGAAATTTCATTTTTCTTTGATTTTTCTTTGAATTAGAGTAGGCCTTCAGTTAGATTATTTTATTCTTTTCTAAAAAAATCTTTTGATGTGTTGACTAAGTATTTTTTGAGGATTATTAAATACTCTGTTATATTACTACGATAATATAAAGTGAAAATAAGGTTTTTTACTAAAACCACACCTATTAGGTATAGGTAGTTAATGTTGTATTGCACAGAAAAAAATACAATGAGCAATTGAAAATATATATATATTTAGCGGGATAGCTTTAAGAATTTAGCTTAAAAGTATTAATTGGCTTTCAGGAACATTTAAATATGGCCCAAAAATTAAAATTAGTCAAACAAGGGGTTACGCTTTGTGTTTATGCATTTTATCACTAGAATAGAACAGTAATTTAAAAACTAACATACTAAAAGTAAAATACATTTTGTCTAAATTTTCTACTAAAGCTTTATGCTAGCGTTCCCGGCTTGTTGACAGTGAGAGGTTTCATAAATTACAGTTCCCTATTTCATGCACAATTTGCGTAGTTCTACTAAAAGCATCCAATTTACCATTATGGAGAAATTGTTGGAAGGAATAATAAATATAACGAAATTCCAAAATGCATTCGTGTTTGTTACGAAACAGCGATCACGAGTATTAAATGGCTTTCTATATATAGGTTTATAGGTATATTATTTCTAATGTTTATTATAACTTCACATTTCTATTTATGTTTGTTATTTATTTCGTTATTAACCACTTGCTGTTTCATCTTTTGCCTCTTTCATATTTTATCTAAGAAATTACAAATATATTATTACTTCGTCTCTATAGCTTCGTATAGCAGGGAAACGGCACCATCTGTTTCACAAAGGTTGTCACGCAATTTAGTACTTTGTTTTAATAAAGTGTCTCCGATATTCACTTGTTTATATATTGCACAAGCGGTGGATCATTTATATGTCACGTTCTTTGAATATTAAATCCAAGGATACTATGGGGGTAGACTACCAATATGGATGGATTTAAATGATCTTATTGATTTTTGGCGTTGGGCTAGCCACCGGGTGAAAATCTATTCCCGTTGAAAATGTACCAACTGTGGCGGCGACATGTTATGCCCCACATATAACTCACGTGGAGGAAATAATCACTCGTCTCCTCAAGAGATGGCACTACCGGCGCTGCGTTCACAACGTGGGGAAGGCTATATTGCGCAAGAGAAATTCGGAACCAAACACTCCATATATTATATGATGTCCGACCAACATCAGTCGGGCCCCCGAGCTACCATCATCCAGCTCGGAGGAAGATCTTCCCCTTTGGCCTTCCTACACTACCATAAAAGTAGCACAATCATCATCATCATCAGCCTATTAATGTTCCCACTGCTGGGGCATAGGCCTTCCCTATGGATGGAATAGGGAAATTGGGCCATGATCCACCACGCGGGCCCAGTGCGGCTTGGCGGGTGCTAACGACTGCAGTTGCAGCCGGGACCAACGGCTTAACGTGCCTTCCGAAGCACGGAGAAGCTCAAGATAGTAATTTTTTTTGGTCACCCATCCAATGACTGACCGCTGCGAAAGTTGCTTAAGTTCAACGATCGCAGCCGAACACGCTAATCACCTGCGCCATCAAGCTCCTCCAAAATCGTAGCACAAAAAAGTAGCACAAAATCAAAATGTATATTCAATGTCCTCAGTGATGCCCGATTGGGGGAAACGAAATGTACATGGGCGTCATTTTGACTCCGTTCATTTTCACTTATGGCTCGATTACACTTGGTCGTAAGCCTGTATTCGGCTGCACGAAAAACTTTACTCGAATTCAGGCAGCTGAAGCAACATTACACTGGAATACGGGTTGGAAGCCAGTGTCGGGTAACCAAAACTCAAACTACGAAGACGTTTGCCCGAATACCTTAAGCAATTGTATTCGAGCTAACGACCAAGTGTAATTGCGCCTGTAAATTTAAATATCTATAATTCTGCCAGGACTTTAAACGTACGAAGTCAATTTTAGCTTTTGTATTTAAAGTAGCATATTAACTATAATCTTAAAAAAATAAAATAGGCCATTTGGTCAGCGGTTCAATTTCGTAGATTTTATTATATGAGCCTGATTTTCTTAAATATGGAAGCGGACAGGTAAAAATGTTGATGTTTGCGATTTTAGTTATATTCGCTTAAATTACATCTATATACGTCCTCGATGTTAATCAATTGAATTAAAGGGCATTGTATTTTTGACTAACTTTTAAGCATGCATCAATTCAAACCAAGGTACCAAGTATTAACAAGTTATAATCAGAAAACTACTTGTAGTGGAATGTATACTTGACTTAATAAGCTCTCTTATGTTAGTTTCAGTTAGTTTACGATTCCTAAGAACTTATAATCAAAATAACAAAACTAGCCAAATTGCCTTATTGTTTGTAAGTTAAACATTTAACTGGTTTTTAATAAATAATTTAAGCTTCTAGGAGAAATGATTATCGATTAAACCATAATCATTCCCTTGTGATTTGCACAATGTAATTAATCTAACAGATTCTAGAGTTTTACTGGGAGTTTCGCAATATCAATTCACTCACTCGCCGAAGCCCTTTACTTTTTGAGACTACGGACACAAATCATGTTGGAATAAGATAACGTTTCTTAAGGTTTTACAAATAATTATTAATATCTTAGTAACTTTTTTGTTAAATTTTATATCTAAGTATATATATTTTGAAACAAGCAACTGCTAGATTTTAATATGTAAAGATTTCAGTGGCTATTTCTTTAGTTACAAATTAGTTTTGACCAGAAGCCTTCGTAATATATACCTAAATATACAGAGTTCACCCTCCCCGCGGTGGAATATTATTTTTTAGCTAAAATTTTGTAATAAAGTTACAAGCTTAAACTGGCAAGTGCCACATGAATAAAGCAACATACTAAATACCTACATTATTAAAGTAGACGTTTTATTGGTGGTTTCTCTGTTAAAAGCATTTTCATTTGGTCCTGAAGGGCTAATTACACCAGCATCAAGTCATGAAAAATTTAGCTATTTTATTTTAATTAACTAAAAATTACAGATTGGATGCTGGTGTTTAATAAATGATTACAGAAACGTCCAATTGCCTGGCTAATTTAACCTGATGGCTGCGACATACTACTCGTATGGTGCAGCCATCAGGATTAATTATATATATAACTATCATTGAAATAACAAAAACAACTTAGGCAAATGTTCCGCAATAATACGAGAGAGACTGCAAATAGCGTCGTGCGAAATAAACTTCCTACTTCGGAATGTAGTTACATATCTACCTCCTATATTCTAGTTTGACGGTGATCGAGGGGTATGTACGCCGGTTTTAAGATGTCGCCTACTCAGAGGTCCTGAGTTGAAATCCCGGTGGAGCAAATATTTGTATAATGTATACAAGCATTTCTGTGCCTAAGGATTTAAGTTCTAGAGATATATATGTACTTATACCTACACCGTGAATTTTGAGTTATCTACCTGAGAAACTTAAAAATCGTATAAATAATAATAATGAGATTTTTTCACAATTATTGAGTTAACGTGGAAACACTTTCAAAATATATACAAAAAAATGCGGAATAATAACATAAATCGTTGTCTGAATTCGCTAGTAAAATTTCTCAGGTAACACAAAATTCACGGTGTATAACGTATCCGTACCTATAAGCTTTTCATTTTACCTGTAACCCTAGTATCCCTTAACGTAAGCATCGCAGTGCTTACTTTGGAGCTAGGTTAATTGGTGTTAACGTGTCAGTTTTTTTAATAGTTACCATTTTCCAGATTGAGTCGCTCCCTCTCTGCGTTGAGAGAGCGCGCGATCCTCAGCGCGGTCATGGTTTCACGGTATTTCTGATCATTTTCTGCATCTAAGGCAGGTAGGGCCGAGTTCTAACACAAAATAAACAAAAACAGTAAGTCAGTAAAAATGCAATCGATAATGTGGAGTGTACATCATAATTTGGTAATATTACCTTTTAAGTTTTTTGTAATTCATTCTTAAAAAGTAAGCTTACTTTAGGTAAGTCTGAGCGAAATAGATAAAGATAGTGTGACTGAGGAGCTCGATGGAGCAAGTGGTTAGCGCGTTCGGCTGCGATCGTTGAACTTAAGCAACATTCGCAGTGGTCGGTCATTGGATGGGTGACCAAAAATTACTATCTCGAGCTCCTCCGTGCTTCGGAAGGTACGTTAATCCGTTGGTCCCGGCTGCATCTGCAGTCGTTAGCATCGACCAATCCGCACTGGGCCCGCGTGGTGGGTCATGGCCCAATCTCCCCATTCCATCCATAGGGAAGGCCTGAGCTCCAGCAGTGGGGACATTAAAAGGCTGAGGATGATGATGAGTGTGATTGTAAAATAAAACTATTTACGAGGTAGTTAGTAGTTAATAAGTCATGAAAGAAAATTCTTTTGCAGCGATGTTTCCGAACACAATAACACGCCTTTTCAGAAATCTTCGTTGTCTCAAATTACACTTGAAATTACTAACTGACCCATCGAACTTTGTACTGTCATAAAAAGGGGGGTTGGTAGAAGGGTGAAAATTAAGACTTGTATGTATTTTTAAAGCGTAATTATAAATAAAAAACATAATACAAATAATTGTCCAAATATTCAAAACAAATATTGGGGTGGACTTTCCCTGGGGATATGAAAAATAGTTAAAGTTCTGTTCTCAAACCTACATAATTCTCAAACCTACAAACAAAATTTCATAAGAATCGGTAAAGCCGTTTTGGTGGAGTTTTGTTACAAACACAACACGAGATTTTTATATATCAAGGTTTATTTCAAAAATAAATTGTAAAGTTTTACCTGATTTAACAAGTCGTCTCCGATTTTTTCCAAATTGGATTTTAGAAGACATATTTCTATTTGCTGTTCCTCGGGAGAAAACATTTTTATTAAGAATATTTTGTTCTGATACAAATACAAACCAAGCAATCCGAAAAAATTTACGCGCCAATGCCGCCAAACAGGTGCAAACTTTTTCGATTATTATTGTATAGCAAAGAAAAGTTACTCTATTCAGCCTATTATTTGTTTGTGAACTTTGACAAAATTATTTATTCGGTAGATTTTTTTTTCTTAAATATGCTTGGAATTGAGCATTATTGTGACAACCTTCTTCAAATGAACGAAATTGCTGTACTGGCCAAATAAAAAATATAGACAAAAGTTGTATGAAAATCCTTAATAATCTGTCGTGGTGTAGCCGTCAAATAAATTACAAAGTGAACTCATGTCTGTCGTGTAATTTAAAAATGGAACGATCTTTTATTCCGAAGCATGGCAACCAAGAAGGTAACTTATCCTTAAGCCCACCATTCACTACACGCACCGCGAGCCGAACCCCGAGCCGTACCCATCCGTGGACAAATCCGTCATTGCCCACACACTACACGAGTGTCGAGTTGCAGTCCAGTCGCTTGTGTACTTTGGTGAGCCTCGCGCGTATCGTTCTTCCCTACCCTACCATGCCACCGGTGCTTTGCAAACGCACAAAAGTCGCTTTAGTAGTAGGTGCAATACTTTTAACGGAGAATATAAAAGAAAAAGCGCATTTGAACAAAGGAATGGCTGAAACAACGAACAAAATATACTCATTTAAAATTGCTGCAATGCATTCAGACCTGTAAACCACCTGTTTCTTTTTCTCTTTAAACAGCAGGATAAATTCTTGCCAAAACTCTTTATGATCGCCGAACGACATGTTATTATACTCGTTTACTCGTTCGTAATACAAACAACACAACTGCAGGCCAATTATGCTCGCTAATTGTGATATTGTTTTGATGTCAATTTCACATAACTCATTATGCTCTCCGAAAAATGCGATATCAAAATGACATCAACTTAAATGCGTATTACGTTCAACTTTTTGACATAAAACAGTATCGCATAAACGTCAAAAATGTGATACAGACTTAACAAGTTAGGAGGTGGTTTTTCTGTATCAAATTCCTTTTTTTTTAATAAAAAAGAGTAAAATGGCTCGTTTAGGGTTAGTAATGGACTATTTAGAACGAGCTCATGCTGAGGACATGCGCAGAAGAGTTAAACCCCTTGTAGAAGAGATACAATTAGCTCTTTATCTTTTTCTTTTTCTTTTCTCCGAAAAATGCGATATCAAAATGACATCAAATTAAGCGTATTATGATCAACTCTTTAAAATGATATTAACTTGATATCAACTTAAATGAGTATTATGTTCAACTTTTTGACTTAAAACAGTATCGCATAAACGTCAAAAAGTGATACAGACATGATACAGAATTAACAAGTTAAGAGGTCGTTCTGCGTGCACGCACTACTAGTCCAGTCAGTATTGTCGCGAAATCCGTTTTTCCTCAAACAGCTGGAACTATGCTAAAAAGTTTCTTAAGATAGTAAAGAACACTTTACATAGAGAAAAAAATGTTTCCAACCCCGGGCAAGGGTGAAAACCACCCTTAATAATCTATTTTTCCAATTATCTCAAAAAGTATACGAGATACGGAAAAAAACTTCAAATGAAAATTGTAGATCTTTTTGAAATCTACAAAACATTATTCCACCCTCTTGCCCCTATTTTCAATAGGGGAGCCAATAATCGAAGTCAAAGATTCAATACTTAAAAAGTTAAAGTTAGTTAAACAAGTTATCTTTGACTTCGATTATTGGCTCCCCTATTGAAAATAGGGGCAAGAGGGTGGAATAATGTTTTGTAGATTTCAAAAAGATCTACAATTTTCATTTGAAGTTTTTTTCCGTATCTCGTATACTTTTTGAGATAATTGGAAAAATAGATTATTAAGGGTGGTTTTCACCCTTGCCCGGGGTTGGAAACATTTTTTTCTCTATGTAAAGTGTTCTTTACTATCTTAAGAAACTTTTTAGCATAGTTCCAGCTGTTTGAGGAAAAACGGATTTCGCGACAATACTGACTGGACTATACAATACAAATGACTGACAAGTTCGCCGACAAATCTGTGAAAGCACACACACGCGCGGCTGGGGTGCGGCGCGGCGCTCGCGTCTCTCGACGGCGAGCGCCGCGCCGAGCCGCGAGCCGCACTCACCAATACATTCACACGCGGATTTGTCCGCGGACTTGTCGCCAGCGACAAATCCGGCGGATTGGCGCGCCCGTGAATGGTAGGCTTTAGATTAAAACAAAAAGGGTAGATACGGCACTAGCCTCACAAAAGTGATCCGCATAAATTGTGGTCCACGATCCTAATCGCTTTAGTCACAACTTGACATGCAAACGATGTACATGTGAACGCCAAAAAGAAATATTGCATATATTTTGTGTTTATATGATAAAACAATGTCTAAGTGTGTTTTCAAAAAGTGCTCAAATTGCTCAAGAACTAAAAATAAAACCCACGGCAACACTTTTCATTTGTAAGTACTATAAAATATATTTTTTCATAAAAATTGCTGTTTGTTTTGAATCTTATTCGGTAGTGACGTCGAGTACTGGTCGCGTGGTTGTTCGGTAGTGCAGTGACGCGGATCTCGCCGTCTCGTTCGCGCTGCCGTTGAAACTTAACGTGCTGTTTCGTTCGGGTCGGTAAAGCAGTGACGCGGATCTCGCCGTCCCATTCGCGCTGCCTTGGGATCAGTTTTTGTTTGATGCAAGTATGAGCGTACCGTATCTACCCTTTTTGTTTTAATCTAAGAACTTATCAAAGGTTTTATTCAATTTTTGAACTGTATTGCAAATAGAAACTGTTTATTGAACAAAAAACTGTGTTCTGTGAAAAAAACAAATGATCACTTCTTCACGCGGAAATAGTACATTACTGCAGAGCTGTCAGCAAAAGAGGCATTGATAGACGAACGTAAATGTAAGCCGAGGCTAAGCCGGGCACACATACGTAGGTCCATCAATAACTGTTGTTGAGTAAAAGGCAATTGTTTCTCAATGACATTAATTTATTTTATTTTTTTACTTATGGAATATTTACATGAGAGAATAAAAAAATGACTTATTTACACATGGACTATATAGTAGACCAACACTACCGGTCGTGAACATGGCCCCCGGCGGTGTAGACACCTACTTATTTAGGCAACGGCCAACACTGCCAGTTTTCTTACCGGGCGACGCAGGACACCCCCTTGAGTCAATACGTCTACTACCCTTACAATTTTGTCCTTGCCGGGATATGTGGCTACTACGCGTCCACGTGGCCAACAACGCCTTGGTAGGGTCCCATCCACAATGCAAACCAAATCACCAATTTGCAACGTCTGCTGGTCGCTGGTCGAAGAGCGTCGCGGCACTAGAGTGGCAAATACTCGCGTACAAATCGTTGCCAAAAATGGTCCGCCAGATGCTGTGCTTTCCGCCATTGCGCTCTACTGGAGAGATCGGTATCGTCGAAACGCCGTGTTTGCATATCGCTTGAGGTGTCGCAATCCACGGAGACGTGGGTAAGCGGTCTAGAATTCACGACCGCCTCCGCTTCCATCAATAACGTCAGAAAAACCTTTCTCTTGGTGACCTGTCCTTTAATGTTACAGCCAAGGCGCTCTTGATATTTCGTACCAATCTCTCCCAGCAGCCTCCCATAAATGGAGCAGATGGGGGGGATGAATTTCCACCGTATCATCTTGGTGGATGCGAACTCGTAGACGTCCTTGACGATCTTGGCAGCTCCGACAAATGCCGTCCCGTTGTCTGAGTATATGCAGGAGGGGTTACCACGACGGGCAATGAAGCGGCGTAAGGCCATTATGGCGGAATCTGAAGATAGGCTCTCTACTACCTTGAGGTGAACAGCTCTGATGGTAAGGCAGGTGAAGAGAGCCACCCATCTTTTGGCGTGCCTCCGTCCAATCGTGACGCTTAGCAGGCCAAAGTAATCTAATCCGACATAGGTGAACGCACATTCTTTGTGGGCCATCCGAACGTCAGGTAGGTCTCCTATGGGTGGCGTGACAAGTTTTGCTTTCTGTATTCTACAGAATTGGCATATAGAGGCTACTCTCTTGACGGCAGGTCTCAGTCCAATAACATAGAATCTTTGGCGTAATTCATTCACAACTAGCTCGTTATTTGCGTGTGCATATCGGGTGTGGTAGGATTGGATGAGCATTCTCGTAATCTGGTGCTTGCCATTGAGAACAATAGGACGAGACCGGACTACATCCGAGGCAGAGGTGCGACCGCATAGCCGAAGATGACCATCTTCTCCCCAGAGCAAGGACACGTTCTTAAGCGTACTGTAGTTAGAAACGGGGCGTCCTGCGTAAACGCAATTGAGTTCGTCTGCGAAAGAATCACGTTGGACCGACATAAATAAATGAAGCTCTGCTGAATTTAATTCATTTGCAGAAAACGAGAGGAAAATTTTCATGACAACGCAGAGAAAGATTTGGAATTTTGAGGTAAAAGTGATCTAAAAATCTTTGCCGATTGGTGTGGCTCTGAGCAGGCGGATCCATTTACTGAATCGGTGGTAATCCGCGACTATAGGTGAAGTAGCAGAAGGTTCAGTAAATTTAGTAATAACTAAACATCCGACCAGTTCGGAAACTGTTTTATTTTCGTCCGTGGTAGGAATATCACAGGTTATTGGTTCACTGGGCCATGTTTCTTCTGGTGAAAGGAGAAAAGAAGAAGAGAAAGGAGGGCCGGTAAACCAACGAGAACGAATAAATAAATCTCCAGTATCCCGAGTAGCACCATCGGCAACATTTAGGGCCGTAGGTACATCCAACTCTGAACATCGGTTAGCTCGGAAATCTCGGCTACGCGGAAGGAAACAAACGGTTTAAATGAGCAAGCATCACTCCGTAACCATTTCAATACTGTCACGGAATCAGACCACATCACATATTTTACAGGCTTTCTCTTATGAGCCTTGAAGATGTACGTAGCGAAACGTGCTGCAATTAGCGCTGCCTGAAGTTCCATCCTTGGGATAGTAGCTGGTTTCAATGGCGCAAGTCTAGCTTTGCCCCCAATTAATGCTAGTTTT